AAAAAATAAATAAAATTTAATTTAGCCTATAAAATGGTTAAGATTGATTATAATATTGACATGGGAAAATGAATTCATTCATATTTCTTTTAGATCAGCAACACAGCAGTTACACAATAAACCAGATAAGTGTAAGTTAGTTTTAACCAATCAGAAGCACTGATTTATGTAGGGCTGCTGCTAGTGATCATTTTTACATCAGTTAATCTGTTGTTTGTTCAGGTGATCTGAATGAATAAGTTTAGATTTTAAAATAATCTTTTTTTTTTGTTATTTAACTTTCATTAGTGATCTTTAGTGTTTATTGTTTACAGAAAATAATACAAACAAAAACTTGCAAATTAAAGCAGAAAAATATAGGGATAAACTTTAGCATGAGAAACAACTAAAATAAAAATCGTATCATTTATGTATTCAAAAATAAGAAAGTGGTAAGAACTGCTGCAAATTGTGGTGAAAAATCCTTATTCTTCAGTAATTTAGTCACCTGACGGCTTGTCAGAAAGAAGAGTGAAACAAATACAATTTAAATTGTAATTATGGAGACTATAATGTGGCTAAATGTTGTTTTAACTTAGCCTACTTTTCATATTATACTCTAATTGTATTTAAAGGTGGGTTGCATATTTTCCAGGCCCAATTCTATACCAAAATCAATTAACTTAGTTACCTTCAGTTATTATGAAAATGCTGTTATATCAAAAATAAATAACCACATAACAGTCTATCTAAACATATTGAAATTGGCATCTGTTTCTTTAAGAGCCTCTTACTGTTTCTGACACTTCCACTTCAGCAAGTCTCCACAACAGTAGGGGAGGGGTGCTCTCTGGGGTGGGAGTTTGGCTGCAGACTGAGCTCCAGGAGGAGCTTTGTGTAAATAGGTGGAGCTTTGTACCAGCAAATGTTTAGGCAGCTCCACATGGCTACAGGAGATTCAAGGATTTCTCAAACGTGCATGAACAAGTCAAAGCAACACTCTGGGTATGTTTTGGACTAGGGAATGACATTATAACATGATATGAAGCTGAAAAACATTGATTTTGCGTAATACCACCCATTTAACAGAATAAACAGATATGGAAGATTAATCCCGCACATCAACACACACTGGTGTCTTAAGATGGCTCTCCTGTTGAGTTGGAAAGATTTTCAACCATCAGGGTGTTTTTCCTTTGCTGTGATGACAAAAAGGGGAAGAAAGAGGTTAAGATCTTTCCTTTTTGGCATTCTAATTCTGAATAAGCACAATTAAAACAACAGGGATTATGAGAAAATGGAACAAAGCGATGTCATCAGATCTCTACAAGGAACCCAACTGGACACAACACAAGCACATGTTGTGAGCTCAGAGTTCTGTCCAAAGGTTTTCTTTGAAAAAAAATATTATAAACTGTGGATATGTTTGTAAAGCATTGAGGATAGCATATGATGTCAATGTATTTTGTTTATTTTGCGTCTCTCTCAGAGTAAATTTTTTAATATGTGAATACCAACAAATCTCCCCATACAGCAGGGTTATTCAGCTGGTGACCCTCGGGCCGGATTTGTTTTAGAGTGACCAAAATGCGGCCCACCAATTGGTTCATTCATCTCTTAAGCCCAAACTCCCGGTTTTCTACTTTAATTACCATGAGTTCTTTTAGTTAAACATAGACATGTTTGGTATCTACAGAAACATCAGGATCTTGGCTAGAAGCTAGTAAAAACCATTTCATGAATATCCAAGACAGTTAAAACTACAAGCAGTTGAAGGTAAAACTATGAAAGTGAAAATAAAATAGGTTTAAAAAGTTGGCAAGTCAGAGATGTCAAAAATATTGTTTGTGCTAAATAGGAGCCAGAATGTGTTATTTTTTGTTTTTGATATTGTTTTACTATCACTACTTTTATTACATAGGGTTCTGTATGTTGCATTCACGATTAAATGCAGCAAAATAAATTATTTCAAATGTAACAGATCTTTGTAATACTTGGTTTATTTACCGGTACATAAAGACTTTAATTGCTGGATGTTCGGTCCCTGTGCTGTTGGTCTGCATTAACTGTGACTCCCAGAGCCCTGCCATACAGTATTTCCTCATGTCACTGTTGTTTTCTTTCTTCTTGTGATAGTACTCCTGGTCTTATTTGTATACACATAAGGAACCTCACAGAAGGAGCTGGAGAACACCTAGGGACTGATAATTATAGATTTATATCACATACACTCACCGTCCACTTTATTAGGTACACCTGTCCAACTGCTCGTTAACACTTAATTTCTAATCAGCCAATCATATGGCGGCAACTCAGTGCATTTAGGCATGTAGACATGGTCAAGACAATCTCCTGCAGTTCAAACCGAGCATCAGTATGGGGA